AAAGAATGATGAAAAATTTATAACCAACTTCCGGAACGAAAGGCGAAATTAAAAATTTATCACCAGAAAAAGAAAAAATAAATAGTATAAAAAATGACAGCATTAAGAAGTAGCGTTAATGAAACTAATATCTTGTAAAGAGACTACTTGCAATGGTTCTATTGAAAATAAGTTTTAGCCAAACCAGTAAATCAAAATAATATATTATTGCATGAAAGTCTCCGAAAAAAAAAATTATCACCAAATATTAGGATTAGAAGAAGCAGCTCCCTTTTCCGAAGCGAAAAAAGTTTATCAACAATGATACTTACGATATCATTCGGGAGAGATAAATGAGGAGGGACGAGAGAGGTTTTCGGAGATTAGTGAGGCTTATAAGAAATTGTTTGATTCGGAAAAAGAAAAACAACCCCCCCCAAAAAAAGCGGAATGAAAAGAAAAAAAAGTAGGCCGGAGTTCCCAATTACAAAGTGAAATACTGGAAACTAGAAGAGTGGTCAAAGCAACTAAGGGTGGACGCAGATTTAGTTTTACTAGTCTGTCGTTACTCCGGGACGCAAGCCAGAAAAAAGTAGCTTTTTCTTATCAAGGAGGGCGAGAAATGATTAATGCTTTGCGGAAATCTCAGCATAAGGGAGAGAAAAAATTAATTAATTATTGACCTTATCCTCGTCGCACTATTCCGCATGATATTCTCGTTAGTTATAAGGCAACTAAAATTTTTCTCAAACCTACTCCACCCGGCAGTGGAATTAAGGCGAGTGTTCTTCTTAATCATTTATTTAAGTATTTAGAAATCAAGGATGTCAGTGCCAAAATAATTGGTTCTCGCAATAAACTAAATGTGATCCGAGCCACTTTTTTAGCCTTGGATAAACTGACAGGCAAAAAATATGATTATTAATTTTCATGATGAAAGGCGAGCGAAGACCGATGAAAATGTTTTTCCTTTCTGTCTTTATCAGGTCAATAATTACAAATTAACTCTGGTGATTTCTCGTAAATAATTCAATTGCTCGGAAGAACCACTTCCTACATTCTTTTCCTAATCATTATTAAGTAAGTGAATGTTACAAGCCATTTCTTCACACTACCCAACTTGTAGTTTTTTCTGGTAGTCAGTCAATATTTCAGGAACGTTAGACAACAAGTTAGACCAGTTAACCATGAGTTACCCCTTAAATAATAAATATTATGACTTTCGATTTTTTAGGAGATATTCAAAATATGAATATTCCGCAAGAGGCGTGGCCCCTTATAGGAATGGTTGCTTTGCTGGTAGTATTTGTTTTACTTATTTTAATGATTTTAACTTTGTGGCTTTGGGGGTGAGAGAGAATTTTTTCTTTGCTTGGTTTTGGCTTGGGTCTTGGC